TCCTGCTGGCATAGCTGTAAGGGTTATAGGGACATACAAGCTTTCCTGCTGCTTCAAGGTGCAGTCCTCAGGGGCAGGGGAAAAATCCAATTATTTAAGTGGCTATCCTCTTGGAGGCAAGGAAGGTTATGGTGAGAGAAGAGGAAGGAATGAAAAGGAAAAGCGAGGGAAGGAAATTGATCGCATTAAGGAGGTTTACCTTCCTGCCATATACCTTGTGAAATCTTGGCCCCATTCCAGCCAGTGCTACTGCTTTTGTTGACTGGTTAATAGACCCAGGAACCCATTCAGTTCCTCACATGGTTATGATTGTCTTTTCTGAGTGTTGGAAACTTATTCGTATGTTTGTGACATACTTTATAGAAATTTAGACAGTTGCTACTACTTACGGATGGACAGATAGATAGGAACATAAGACACTGAAACAAAAGAATATGCAAAAATAATATTCTGCTGTGACAGTGTAGAAGATAGGAGGAATTTATCCAGCAGTGGCCAGGAAACTGTAGCTAGATAGAGATAGAACTGTATGCCTTCAAAGTCTAAGCTGTTGGAGCTAATTGCAACCGTATTGAATAAGGAGATTGCATTGAACAAGGAGATGATATCAAGATTTCTTAAAAAAAAATGAAATGATAGCGTGCACTTGTTGATAATTTATTGCAGCTCCACTTGACTAATTACAGAATTTTGGCCTTAATAAGTGGCTGTTTTTTTAAAGTAAGCTTTACAGCTTGCTTTCCTGGCTATTGTTTTTATTTTGTTAAAACAGTTGAGACCCTCAGGCATGAAACAAATCTCTCCTAATTAGGAGGTTATGCAAATGGAATAGAAGTCTGTTTTGAACAGTTGGTTGTATTTTTAATTCCGTTTTTGCAGTGGGATCTCTTTGCTGTGGCTGATAATTTGGATAACCTATTATTGCCTTAGTAATAGAGTCTTTGACGTCCACTGCTAGACTTAACCTGTGATATTAAAAGCGAACTGTAATGCTTTTAAAAATAAAGCCAAAAGCCTGTTTTAAGATCGTAAATCACTAAGAGAATACACGAGTAGGCTTAAATACAAATAAAACACACTTAAAGTAAATATTTGAACGTAACTTCCTTTTCTTGATCTATAGGTGTAAATCCTACCCCAGCAGTTTTTGCAGGACTTGGAAACTTGTGGGTCCGGGGGGCCTTGTAGAAACTGCTGTAGACGGAACATTGGGCTCCAAGGGCTGCTTTTCCTTTGGTCTGACTGGTAGGGTAAAACTATCAGTGTTAGATGAAAGGGTGAAAGATGCCCCCAGGAGACAGCAAATGTTGTCAAGTGTCCACTGTTTAAAGCCAGCGCTGCCAACAGGGTACATGGAGGATGAGAGATGTTTGGTTGTAGTTCTGCATATTCTGTGACTCCATTTGCTGTAGCCCCTGAAGTAATGAACTTGGGCGGGGGGGGGGGGGGGGGGGGTGGGTGAGCAGCCGAAAAAAATGGCTGGTGAACAGGGGTAAACTGGCTGAGCAAGCCCACATGGAATAAGTTGGGGTGAAAGCGGGAGAAGGTTGCAAGATTACTGATGAAGAATACTGAAAGGTGCTGCGAGCAAGTAGCCTCCCTTTGCCCACTTCCTCTACTGTTTCCTTCCCCTCCTGCATAGTTATCATGTTCTTTCTTGCACAGTGGAGTGTGGGTATGTCACCCAGTTACTATGCTTAAGGGAAGATATCTTTAGGAACTTGGAAGTTTGAGTGTTACTGAAGTCATCTGATATGTAAAACAGCATAAAATGGAGCTTTCTACCAGTGTATTCAGTGAGAATGGGACTTCAGGCAAGCAGAATTATTAACTTATAGTAAATATAAAGAAAAAAAGTAGGGAAGCATTTTGGAACAAATATAAGCATATGTGCATACTGGAGGGCATAAAGCAATGAGGAATATGAAGAAAAGTCTCCATATCCTATTGCATGCTGCAAAAGTTTACTCAAACTGGCTAGTATCAGAATATTACTGAACTTGGTGGGCTGTTACGCTAACCCAGTATGATCTGGGTAATTTTCTGTCATTTGCTGGGTTATGTCTGGGTAATTTTTCAGTAATTTTGTGTCATTTGCTAGTATTTGGGTGTGTTTTTTAAAGCTGCGTACGCATTCTTAGTGATTTTAAATGCTTAATGCTTCTTAATAGCTTTCCAACCATTTATTTCTGATGTAGGAAGTTCCAAACAAAAAAATTTCATATGCTGCTTATTGAACCAGCTAGGTAGATTTCCTCTGGGATTATTAATCGTATTTGTTACAGTATCAGAGACAGGAATGGCGTTTCCCGCTTTAACATACTACGTGCTTCAACACAACAAAAAGGTTTTCCTTTATATGGTTGTGGAAGTACCGTCACAGGCTGTGTACTCTTTTAATCTCATTTTCTTTATTTAAAGAGAGTGTTACCATTTTGAAAGACATGCATGAAGTGAACGCATTTCTATACAGATGGCTACTGTACTATGTCTTCTATCCATCTGTGTTGCTTTAGGCATCGTTTAAATCTGTAAGACAATAATAAAACAGCTATGTCCTATCCACACGGCCAAATAAAAATGTGAGGCTGCTGTGGTTTTTGTGTGCTCAATGTAGTATGTTTTTCAGCTTCTGGTGGAAGGATTAAAATGAGCCACAGAAATCTTCAGCTGGTAACTTGCAAACCTTTGAGAATACTGGAGATAATATTTTCACATAGGAAGATATATATAAATCAACGTTCCAATTACATGCTTCCTCTCTGCTCCTTTAATAATACACTTTGGGACTGAACTGAACCAGAGATACTCAGAACTAAAGATATGGTCTAGCTCTTCATACAGGAGTATGACACCTATCTACTCTCCAGGGAATTAAGTCATAAAATTAACTAATCGGGTATACAAGCTTTTCTGCTTATAATTGCTTCATTTATTCTGCCTAACTTTTGTTTTAGTTTGTACTTGGATATATTTCCTTTTATAACTGTGCATTATACCAGATGTGTTATGTAGTATTAACCTTTTCTTTCAAGACAGAAACTACATGTTCTAAGTCCCATCTATGCCAATTTCTTCTCTTCTTTTTTTTTCTTAATTCATGTAATAGATTTGTTCAGTGAATATTAACAGTCTTCACATGGTTATTGTAAAATCAAGACTTTATCCTGTTAGATCTCAGAAGTCCTTAAAAAGATTATTTAGCATATCTTCCAAATGCTGTCTTTGATGCTGAGGAGTTAGAAATATATTGTATATAATAAGATAATATATTTATGTAAGAAGTGCCTTTTAATATCAAAACTAACAAAAAAATGATAACAAATGCCTGCAGTTTTAAATAGATAAGGAATGATGAAACAAGGTCATTGATTGGTTGATTTGTCTACTTTATAAAAGGGGAGCCATATTTTCAGGTAGCTGTTAAACTGCAGTTTCTTTAACCCTAATTCATTTCCACACCACGTGTTGTGAAAATTTGAATTCATTCACATGGACTAATAGTATATAAAAAATTTTGCTTAAGATGTCCTTTGAAGTCTAAAAACCCAAGACATGTGATAGAGCTAGCAGAATAGATCATTATCCTAGTGATGATACTCTTTATTATTAATAGATTCAGCAACAATAATTGTAAAATACTACAAACTCTACACACAAACAACATCTACTTTCTGCTCATCTTATTTCTGCTTGGAACCTAATTCATTTCAGTAGAACTCCTTGAACGAATGAAATAAGCAAGATTTGATCCTTGTGGAATGAAGAGAAAAGAACAAGCTGTAGTCTCTGTTTTTTGCTGCTCTTTTCCCTAAGCTATGAATATATTAATAACACTTTTTAAAAAATAAATAAATTATTTAAGACTAAGACAACTGGTACGTTTGCAAATGCCTTATGGGTAAATTTCTGGGTTTTTTGCTTCAGTGGCAAAACTCACTGTTTTAAACTTGTTAGTGTTTCACTTGCAGTGTATATATCTTAAATACCATGCAGCTGGCCTCTGAGAATATGCTGGGGAAGGTAAAATCTCTTTAAAGGAAGGTATGTTTATTTAACAACAAATAATTAACAATATATTTTGAAACTTCCTTAGGTGTTTCTGGTAAAGGATGCTTGTACTGGTAATTTTCTATTTTAAAAATGTCTTTTTTATTCAGTCTCTCTCTGTTCCGATGCTGTATATAAGCTGAAAAATACAGGAGAGATTGTTGTGATCAGCAGAAGAAGCTTTCAAATAGCAAGAGCCCATTTTGGAGTTTAGAAAAGTTGGATACAGGGGTTTTAGATGAATTTGATGTTACAACTCAGTCCCAAATGTTATTTCTTTTCATTTGTGGCAGGAAAAAAGATTTTAGTCAAAGAAAAGAGTAATATTGTGAAAATAAGCACAAGTTATACTGGATTTATTTGTAAACAGCTTCCTGGACTGCTAAACTTTTAGACTGGGGAGAAAGGTACTTATTCAGTATAGCTCTTTCTTTCTTCTTTTTTAAATTCAGACAACTTCAAGTGACTTAATCTTTTAGTTTGTATATGTCTTGTTAGCAGTAGTCTTACTGGAACTGAGTTTTTGAATCATTAGGTATCAGATATGTTGCAAAATCTTTGTATATACAGTATTGTAAGGTTTGCTTCATAAACTGCAGTTCCTATTTATACAGGTGTGGTTGTACTGGTACCAATTTAAGAAGTGTAAATTGTAACTGATCTTTTTTTTTGCAGAAATATTTTAATTTGAATGATCTTATTATTGCCCTCCAAATTTTTTTTTCCTTTATTAATTTTGTTGATTTATTAAGCCTAGCAAATAACATTGGAAGAAATAATTAAGTAATTGTTCTTGATAGACTCTAGGAAATACGTATTTTTTTGGAACAAGCTTGTCTAGGCTTGATAAGGCAGCTGTAGTGAATGCTCGATTTCTAATTATATCATTGGTGACCTCATTTTACTTGTTCAAAAAACCCCTGAATTTGATTTGTCACAAAATCTGACTTTATTTGTAGATGACGTATGGTAAGCTAACAACACAAATTTTACCAGGCCAGCTCTTTTACCGCTTAATGGCTTTTAATATCTATCAGTTGCCATATTTCATTGAATTTTAGGTTTAGCTGGAATGGTTTTACATTCCGAAAGCTTTTTCAGTACGAGTTTCCCACTTTGCAAAAAGCCTTGCAATTTCGAAGCCTTGTTCACAGACAGATAGCCACAGCGTGTATACATGACTGCTAATCTGTTCCCAATAATAACACTCAGTTGTATCTGAAGATACATACTATCGGTAGCCTTAAATTTTCCATGTGAAAGGGGACTTTTATGTGCTGTGCATACCAGGACTTGAGAGACAGGTATCTAGGAGACCTGATTTCTTAGTGTTGTCCCTCCTTAGAAGCATTGTGGAGGGATGTTTTGTATAGGGGCATGGCTTGAAGTAAACTGAAGATTCATGAATGGGTTGATGCTTGCATGCCCACTGATGAACGTTTTGGAGGAGCTTCCATGACAGGATGTCCTTTTCAATTTTTTTTTTTTTTCAGTTACTGAATGCAATACACGAACTTTTCCATTATGAGGGCAGAGTTTGTCTTGTGTTCTGTTTTTTCGCCTAGCTTAATTGTGAATGATGGCTTGCAAGTGATTAAAACAAATTCAAAAAACATATTTCTACTCTAATTTTTTCAAGAAGCCGAAGCTTACATAAAATTTTCTTTTTTCCTTTGGAAGGTAATGGATTCTGCAGCAGATGTAGCAGAAAGAGCAGACAGAATTATCACCATGCTGCCTTCCAGCCCAAACGCAATAGAAGTTTACACAGGAGCAAGTGGAATTCTGAAGTAAGAATGTGCTCTAGTCTGGAGTATTCCCACTTGTACTCAAGGCTATACTACATTGGTTATCAAGTGATCACTTTGCTTTAACTCTATTGCTGTATCTTAAGGCATTTAACTTGGTGTTCTCCTGTTTTCTCACTATAGATATTTCCGATTACATGAGTACTCTTAAACTGTGATTGATTTTGATTGATTTTGATTTGTTTGGCTAACATGCTATTTTATTTTCAGTAGAATAATAACGTGAATTTGAGATAACTGAATATTTATCTAACTTCTTAGTTACATATTACTTTTACTATAATATATATAGATGTTTTAGCAACAGACAAGTTTAACTAGAATACTTGCTGGCAATAATTATTTGTTCAAACGCTTTTTTATTTGATCTGAAATCCTATAAATGAAGTGTTCTGAACAGATGCTATTGAGTCTCATAGTAGTGAAGTAACAGCAACGCAGAATAGCTGACAAGGCTTTATTGATTTCTACTCGTATTGTCTCTTGTCTTGGCAGACACCTCACTGTTGATGTAGGAATGCTAAGGTTTGTAGGTAAAAGTGAATTGTAAGGATTATGGAATAGTCAGAACCATTGATGTAGCTAGTGTTTTATTTAACTTGAAGCCAAATTCTCCTACTGGACACGCAGAGGTCCTCTCTACATCTACATACATACTTAAGAATGAAGATCAACATCACAGCTGACCCCTTGCTTTACTGGAGATAATAGGCTTTTTTGTGTGTGTGTATAGCTGGTGACTTATTTAGCTTCTCAGTTTGTCTTATTGAAAAATACACAGAGGTATTTTCAATAGTAACATGTTCTAAATGAGATTTCAAGAGGCTGTGCATACCAGGACTTGAGAGACAGGTATCTAGGAGACCTGATTTCTTAGTGTTGTCCCTCCTTAGAAGCATTGTGGAGGGATGTTTTGTATAGGGGCATGGCTTGAAGTAAACTGAAGATTCATGAATGGGTTGATGCTTGCATGCCCACTGATGAACGTTTTGGAGGAGCTTCCATGACAGGATGTCCTTTTCAATTTTTTTTTTTTTTCAGTTACTGAATGCAATACACGAACTTTTCCATTATGAGGGCAGAGTTTGTCTTGTGTTCTGTTTTTTCGCCTAGCTTAATTGTGAATGATGGCTTGCAAGTGATTAAAACAAATTCAAAAAACATATTTCTACTCTAATTTTTTCAAGAAGCCGAAGCTTACATAAAATTTTCTTTTTTCCTTTGGAAGGTAATGGATTCTGCAGCAGATGTAGCAGAAAGAGCAGACAGAATTATCACCATGCTGCCTTCCAGCCCAAACGCAATAGAAGTTTACACAGGAGCAAGTGGAATTCTGAAGTAAGAATGTGCTCTAGTCTGGAGTATTCCCACTTGTACTCAAGGCTATACTACATTGGTTATCAAGTGATCACTTTGCTTTAACTCTATTGCTGTATCTTAAGGCATTTAACTTGGTGTTCTCCTGTTTTCTCACTATAGATATTTCCGATTACATGAGTACTCTTAAACTGTGATTGATTTTGATTGATTTTGATTTGTTTGGCTAACATGCTATTTTATTTTCAGTAGAATAATAACGTGAATTTGAGATAACTGAATATTTATCTAACTTCTTAGTTACATATTACTTTTACTATAATATATATAGATGTTTTAGCAACAGACAAGTTTAACTAGAATACTTGCTGGCAATAATTATTTGTTCAAACGCTTTTTTATTTGATCTGAAATCCTATAAATGAAGTGTTCTGAACAGATGCTATTGAGTCTCATAGTAGTGAAGTAACAGCAACGCAGAATAGCTGACAAGGCTTTATTGATTTCTACTCGTATTGTCTCTTGTCTTGGCAGACACCTCACTGTTGATGTAGGAATGCTAAGGTTTGTAGGTAAAAGTGAATTGTAAGGATTATGGAATAGTCAGAACCATTGATGTAGCTAGTGTTTTATTTAACTTGAAGCCAAATTCTCCTACTGGACACGCAGAGGTCCTCTCTACATCTACATACATACTTAAGAATGAAGATCAACATCACAGCTGACCCCTTGCTTTACTGGAGATAATAGGCTTTTTTGTGTGTGTGTATAGCTGGTGACTTATTTAGCTTCTCAGTTTGTCTTATTGAAAAATACACAGAGGTATTTTCAATAGTAACATGTTCTAAATAAAAAAAAAGAGCGGTTTCAGGCCTTTAGAATGGATCTTGAACTGAAGTACTAGTTTGTAGGGTTGGTTAAAGATCTGGTCTATGATATGTATGTTTTATGGTAAGGCTTCTGAACACCTGAAAGGGGAGCCACTCCCTACCCGTTCTCCAAACCATGAAATTAGTCTGCAGTGGAGATGATTAGCTTCAGATTAACATTTTAATATCTAATTGACTTGGCAGGAAAAAAAATATTTGTAAAAATAGTTTGTCTAAAAAACTGGTTTTGCTTTTTTTCTCTAATTCAGGTAGGTTTTAATCTTGAGGTTTGGGGAGAACAACTGCTTCGCTTTGGTATTTTCCTTTCCTATTCATTACGCAAGGATATACCGAAACAATTCGTTTAATTTGAAACAGTGTTTTTTAACTTATGTGGAGGGATTTCCATTGAGCTTAAAATCCGTTATTGACAGAATTCTGATAGTGGAAATGCACAGAGTTTCTGGACTTGTCAAATTAATTAATGGTATTTGAAAAGCTCTTTGACTACTGATATGTTACTCCTAGCAGAATGTGTACAGCTACTCAATACATTTGAGGATCATGTAGGATATTATTGCTATCTAGCTTTATAAAGTAAAGGAAGAAATACTACTCTGCATTGAGAAGACCAAAGTATAGTAGATTGTCTAAAATCTTTGAGAGCTCTATTAGTAGTTTATTGTGGGTGTTATTAAGGTGCAGAGATTAGAAAATGAAACAGAGGAGAAGGGTGTTCTCTTCTCCGTTCAGTATAGGAAATACTAATTGCTTGCTTCTGTTACTGTCCTTAGTTTAATTCCTCACAAAGCAGGACTGAGCTGATCTAAATATCTGTAGCTTAGACCCTTCAGGGAAGAAGGGTAATTGGATCAGTCCCACAAGGCTGGGCAAACAGCTGTGGGAGAGTTGTATCCAGGATGGCAGTGCTTTGAAGACTGATTGGCAGTGCTTATGCTTATAATGCAGCCAGTTAATCTTTTGAGTTCCTAGGTGTGGAAAACACTGAGGGGAACAATGGATATGAAAAGCAGTCAGATGATGCTGCAGGAAGAATATCCTTTTGTTGTTGTTGTTCAGGTTTGATTGTGTTTCAAATCATTCAAAACTGTGCTGTATCATGAATTTCAAGAGGAACAATTGGAGTATATGTACTTGCTCAGTAGGGTTTGAAACTTTGCGTTCATTAGTGTACCAAAATATATCTGCGTCGTTATCATGCCGAGGAAAGCTATTGCCATGGTTAAAGCTGCAGATGTCTTATGCTACAATTACTTAATAATAATTAATCTTTGTTTTAGGAAAGTGAAGAAAGGCTCATTGTTAATAGATTCCAGTACTATTGACCCTGCAGTTTCGAAAGAATTAGCTAAAGCAGTTGAAAAAATGGGAGCTGTTTTCATGGATGCTCCGGTTTCTGGAGGTAAGTCTTCATTAACAGTTTACCTCATATTGGACAAGTTGTCTCTTTGTTAGTGATTCTAGCCACCAATTTGTGCCCTCATTGTTACAAGTTGCTTCCTTCACCATGTATATATTATTTTTTCTTTGCTCTACTACATATAAAAGAAAAAGAGGCTGCCTGTTTCCTTTGTGACATGGACAAATATTTATGTCTGCAGGAAGAGCTCGATGCTTTCTGAGACTCAAGGAACAATACTGCTTGTAATCTCTTGGCTGAAAGCAGTAGAAAAGAAGGCAGCTCAGACTGATAAGCCTCAGCTTTCAGTGCAGTGTGTTTTTTGACTCTTCTGCAGCTGCTTTACATGCTCTTCTGGGAGCAGCTGGGGAAGGCTGGTGTTATTTAAGAAGTTACTTTTTATTTTAGGAAGATTTTTAGGGTTTAGGAATATGCTTTTGTGTCAGACCTGGAGAAACTGAGATTTAACATGGCATGATACAAGGTCCTTTTAATTTAACTTATTTCAGAAAGCCTTGTTATTATGCAGGTATTCACATCTCTTCAGTCTTCATATGTTTCATTCTGTTAGCGAAGGACTAGCTTGAGAAGTTGGATTGCTGTTAATCAGTTCTGCTGCTTTTTAGTTAATTAAAAAAGAGAGAAGGAAGGGTGGAGGAAAGCAGTGCATGGTCAAGAAATAGCCAGTTAGGTTAGAGCTTTCCGCTGGTTTTATAACAGTTGAAAAACGTGTGGGTGATATTTGTTCTTGAAGTCACAGACTAGTAACTACTGATGTCTGAGTATTACATCTCCCATAAGGAAGAACTTAGAGCGGGCAAGTCTCTAATTTTGTGGGTGGAAGAGAGAAGAAGCATAAAAATAAGGTTTTGAGAACAAAACCGTAGCTGATTGATTGTTATTATTGTTGAATTCTTGTCCAAAACTCTTAGAACTGGAAGGCGAGGAAGACCCATTTTGTGCGGGAAAATCTGTGGTTATTTTACAGTCCACTTTAAAAATTAATGTAAGTGCCATTGTGAGTGATACTTCTTTATTTTACTGTCTTCTTGAGGTGATTCTGATAGTTATACCTTAAGAGAATAAAGATGCAATCAGTAGGGTAGGATTGAGGCTTAGAGAGTTTATTAAAGGCATGATGTACAAGCTAGGAAGAACCCAGCCTGCATTTCAGATCAGTAAGGTAAGCGTGAGTGAGGACTAAAAATCATCTTTTTAATTTTCAACTGAAAACTAAGGCAAGATTTGGCAACACATAGGAAGCCAAAATTTTTGTCCAAGTTCTGATGTGAACAGCAAGTAGGGAAACCCAGAGGATATTGAAGGATGTTATGGGGAAGACAGGATTCTTGCTTCCCAGCCAAAATATTAGTTCTCGTTTTGTAAAGTTAGATAACTTGTTAGTCTGGGAATAAAAACCACAGAAAAAAATGTGTTGTGGGTGGAGTAAATATATATATCATTTTCTAAACGTAGCATGGCCTTCTGCTTATCGGTTGGGCACTGCTGACATCTCTTATGTGGTTCTCTTCAATCTCTGTTCACCCAAATAAGTTGCTTACCTGAAGGGATTAGTTATCTTTTGGAAACATCTGTAATTTATTTTTACTCAGAAATTTTTGCTTAAGGGCTGACTATGCTTTAAGAACTACAAAGAAAGAAAATATTTCAAAACAACTAGCTGTTCTTTGGGTTTTGTTTCATGAGAAAGTGAAAATGCTGAAACTAATGTTATTAATGCAATAACATACAGTTGACTAGTCTGAATACAAATGTCTGTTTTGGTGTTTAGTGATTCATCTGAATACGAATTATTTGATGTTTAATATCAGTTACAGATTGAGTGATACTCTGAAGGAGGAGGGAAGAATTGATATTTAACTTGCTAGTAGATAATGTGTTTGTGACGGCCAAGTACCACTTTGTACAAGTCATGCCTGAAGTGGGCAGCTGGTTGATATGTTGAGATAGTAAGTATAGTAGGAGAATAAAAGATAGAACTTTAATGTTTGTTTTGTTTTTTATATGTTTTAAGACCTAACACATCACGTCTTTGGCTTATGTTTGGTATGTTCTAGTTGCATTATCGGCCATTTGTTTTTAAAAAAAAAAAAAAAAAAAAAAGGAAGTAGCAGGCCTACACTGTCATCCTTAGACCTGTATGTTTACTGGCTGTTACTGGCAGATTGCTTCACTTACATTTTCAGGTGTTCAGGTTGCCTACTGGACATTAATGTTTGTCTGCACTGTGACTAGATTATTGCATAAACTAAGTAATATTTTGAAAATTGCTTGGTCTGTAAACCTCATGGAGAAAATACTGGTGATTTTAATCCTTCCTAACATTGCAAATGAGGTATCATAAGGCCAGGAGTTAGTGCCAGGTTTTAGGAGCTTGTTTGCAGCCTTACTGAAAGATTCTTGTTCTTTTTCAGAATGGGCCTATGCTGCCGCATAGCAGTGCTATGTTCTTAGTATGACTGGCCTATAACATGTGCTTGCAGCTCTGAGTCAACATTCAGTAAGCGGGAGTTAATGCACCAAGTTACTACCGTGTTATTTTGTATTAACTAATTTTGGAAAATACTTCTTATCCCTGTAGTAGCTTGCAGATTATGCCGTTAATACTCTCTAGAGATAGCAATCGCTTTACCCCAGGATTAGGATCACTTGCAGGTCCACATGAGAAAGTTGTGTCACAGTTCCTAGTGTTTTTCTGATTTGTGAGCTCTTTGTGAGCACATGACAAATGAGGAAATATCTTCAAAATCCATTTATTTTTGGCTTTTTTCTCTAAACCTAGAGGAATAAAGTGATCTTTTTGCAGAGGTTGGATTCTGCATCTTTGTTGGAATAAAAGACTTTTAAAACACAAATTACCACAGAAGCATAGAGAACATATTTACAACTGACTTCGATTAACACCGAACAGAATACTGACTGAGCAAGGGCTCTAAACTGAGCCTTTAAGAATTGGGTCTAGTTTGTCTGCGCATTGATTTCACTGAAAGTATGATACAGATTCTCACCTTGCAGTTCAGAGCAACCTTTACTAGTGTTTTTATGGATGCTGCTGTCGTATTTGTCTCTTTTGGATTTAGTGCAGGAAATATGCTTTGTCTAAACTACCATGGGCAAATTTTTTTTTTTTCTGATGTGATGCATTCTTCGCTGTAAGTGTTGTAAGTGCTCAGATATTATCTTCTCAATTAAGCTTTTTTTCCCTCCACTGACTCTTGAAATTATACCAGCTCCTCATCTGCTCAAAAGATGTTGTAATGCACTCTACCAGAAGTTCACAAAAAGATGCATCAGCATGATTTTTTTGTGTATTTTTGGAGTTACAGATAAAGTGCTTTCAATTCTATTGGTGATCTGGTTCTGTAGATCTGATTATGAAATTTAGGTAGGTCTTTCTGCTCGCTGTCTAATCTAGCCAAGATAGTGGTCAATAAAAAGGTCAATGTGTTAGTAATTAACAAAAGCTGTCATGTAGAGAACTACAGTCATGCACTTGTGCTAAAATGGTGATAAACACTAGGTTAAAACATCTTTTATATGGAACGTTCAGCTGGAGCTGGTTAAGAGGTTGAAGTTTCTATTCCAGCTGTCATTTCCAACATTTCATCTTATAGTAGTACTTCCACCAGCTTCAGCTAACCATTAAGTGATCAAAAGAATATTACCAATAACACTGACAAATTGTGTGACAAACCTACGCACTGATAATGGAGTAACACGTGAGCCCTTGGAGAGTGAGTTGCAGACTTACTCCCTCTGTGGTCAGATCTGTCCTTTACATGGAGCAAAGAAAAAGAGTGTTTAGAAATACTGCGCAGATCTTTTCCTTCATTTCATTTCAAAGAACAGTATATTGCGTGGTCCCAACTTAGAAATGAGGAGACCCTCTCCGAAACTGGAGAGATGAACGTAGCTCAATAGCTTGATTACACACTGATAGCGGATACAGACAGGCCAAATAGGATAACGGGTGAATGTGTTTCTCTTAATCAGACACTGAAGGTCTATTGCAGTGTCTCTTTCAGAAGAAGCAGTGTAATCAGACATTGCAGTGTCTCTTTCAGAAGAAGCAGAGGAGAGCCCTATAGCAGAGTTAATACTAAGACTACTCTGCGTCTATGCCCACTAATGCTTGCAAAGATGACTTGAAAGATGTTTTAAGACTGGACTAAATAATAAAAAATGCTAGTAAGTGGTTCAAACGTTGCAACTTCCAGCTTGTACATTGTATTGTAATGAGGAAGCATCATCGATGTGTTTGTCGAGAACAGACCTCTCTTTTGTTGGAGGGTCTTTCAGAGCTATTTTTTAACTGGCTTTTCTGCTTTGTTTCTTTAGTTTCGTGCATTTTTAGAGAAATAAAATCTTATGAGTTCAAGGGAAGGGAAAAGTTGGTTGGTTAATTCGCCATCTCTAATCTGAGAAATGATATGCTTTTTCAATGGACAGAAGGCATGAAATTTGGTCTACTAAATAAAGAGATTTGAGTGTCTCTTAAATGTTAGAATCTTTGAAACACTGTCAAGAAGAAATAGCTTCACAAACTTAAAAGTAATCGTTCTGACCTCTTTCTCTCAAGGGCAAGTCATCTTGTAATGAGGAAAAGGTGGTCCTAAATGCATTCCACTTTTTGCTCTGCTGTTATTTCTGGCTTTGTGTTTTATTTTTTAAAGCCTGAATGGTTATACTCAACCACGTGGTCAGCTGCTTACAAAGTTTTCTATGCTTCTGTTACTAGGTATAACTTTTTCACCTCACCTCTTCCTCTGCACCTCCTCAACCATTTCATGTTTTGCCTAATGTTTTCTTTGCTGACATGTTCTTAATTCCTCTGTTTATGCTTTTGCTGAATTCATGTGATCATAGTAATTTTTTACAAAGCTTTGTGATAAAGGGCTGGTAGTAAAAATTACAAAGTGTAACCATAATATTAAAGAGGGTATGAAAAATGTTATTGAGTTAATCTGAAATTTACAGGAGCT